GCACAGCACTCCAGGTATGGCCTCACCAGGGCTGAGTAGAGGGAAAGGATCGCTTCTCTCCACCTGCTGGCAATGCTCTTCCCAGTGCGGCTCAGGATACAGCTGGCCACCTTTGCCACAAGGGTGCGTGGTTGGCCCTTGTTCAACTTGTCCATTGGAACCCCTAGGTCCTTCTCTGCAGAGCTGCTTTCCAACTGGTCTGTCCCACCAGCCTGTACTGGTGCATGGGTTTATCCCCTCCCCTGGGTCCTCCCCAGGACTTTGTGCTTCCCTTTGTTGAACTGCATGAGGCTCCTCTCTGCCCACTTCTCCAGCCTGTGGGTAGCAGCACAGCTGTCTGGTGTGTCAGCTACACTTCCCAGTTTCGTCTCATCTGCAAACTTGCTGAGGGTGCATTCGGTCCCATCATCCAGGTCGTTACTGAAGATGTTAAACAGTACAGGCCCCAGCATTGACCCCGAGGGTCACCACTAGTGACTGGTGTCCAGCTGGATGTTGAGATACCATAAAACTTCTGGAAAATAACTAACCCTTTTTAGATTTTTTGCTTCTTGCTCCTGATTTACCAAATAGGAGGCTCATGTTATCCACCTGCTGGAGCCACACCGCAAAGTCCGTTTTCACAAGTTCCACAGAAATGCAGAAGGGGCATTCCACTTTCTCTTGGATATCAGCCTTAATTTGAAGATTTCAGGAGATAAATAAGACTCCCTTTCTTCTATGCTTTGTTGTGGTTATTCAGTTTCTGCTTAAAAAAAATAGATGTGCCCTATTTTGCTTTTGAATTTGCCTGGCTTCAGTTTTGATGCTTCTCTCAGCTCTTTTAGAGCCCTTACATCGCAGCAGAATGAATGATGCATGCGATCATGAATCGCAGGCACTGCAGTCAAATCATTTCTCAGGATTTTCTCTAACTTTTTGTCTAACTGCAGATTGGGCTACTTAAGTGGTTTCTTTAGCCCTGGAGTAACGGTTTGGTGTCTTTATTTTTCTACCCCTTCTCATCCAGAAGGGAAAAAAGCATCCCTTCTGCAGAACCTTGGTCGTAAGAATCCTGTGTCTAGTCTGATGTTGAATACATTGCAATTACCAACTTGCAAAACTGTAGGTTTTAATGAGTTATGTTTGAATTTGTTTATGAACTCATCTTGAATATACTTGCTGCTCTGTACTCTACCAAGGGAACAGTATTGCTGTTTGGGAGGGCTGGGTCGGGGAGGGGGGTGACTGTTTTCAGAACCTGTGTGTGGCTTTGATACGCATAGCTGCTTTGGTTTCGAGAAGCCCATAGAGGCGCAGCGTCGGTGTTGGGGGAGGAGGCACTGCGGCTGGTTGAGAACAGGGTTTGGACACGTGCAGTTTGCGGGAAGCACTACATTTGTGGTGGCGTGAGGTTTAAGGAAGAACCTTCTGAGGGCAGTGAGCGTCCCTGAGTGCTGGAATGTTAATGGGCCTTGGTAATCCAGCATTTTATTACCTCCTGGTGGTAGACTGTTTCCTTTCCATTCTGACCTTGTTGTTTTTCTGGACCTCTTTGACCTTGGGACTGCATTAATGCAAGTTGTTCTGAAGCAAACCATACGGGTCAGCTTGCAGCTTCAGGTGGTAAAGAAGGTAGCTTTTTGCAGCTAACCCAAGATGCAGGCAGGAGGCGTTGAACCTGTGTCCTTTCTTAGTGGCATCAGTTCTCTGGGTGTGATTCACAACTTTCATTTTGCTCAGTTATCCTGACAATTTTGCCAATGTTTTCCCAAGTATCAGCAGAATATGGTAGAGGGGCTGTCTCGGTGTATAGATGAGGTGTAGGATGCAGCTATCCGGAATCCACCAATAGCTCCCAATAGCTGCTGGTTAGTTGATTTTAATATTTAAATAAAATATGCAGTAAAAGTTTGTTGTTCCAAAGTTGACACTTTGATAAATCAATATACATAAAAATAAGAGCAATGATACGGAGAAGATTTTAACTGAAAACAGAACTTGCTATTCCAGCTTTTGAAGTACCAGTTTGATAGAAATATTAAAAGTGGTGTCAATATTCCATCTTTTTAAAAATTTTATGAATCTTTTTACTAAATTTAAGATCTATAAAAGGGTACCAGTATTCGTGTTTAAATATTGTTTTCACAGTGTAATAGTGTAGTAAAATTGCATGTTGAGCCCCGTAGAAAAGCATTAGTTTTCTATTTGAAACTAAATGTGTTCACGGGACATGCTTTAGAAAGTACATGTTTCTTTACAGAGTACTTACATCTTTATTGAGTAGTTTCATTACTCTCTATGATTGGACAAATCTGTAACCCATTAAAATGACTCAAAGACAATACGTACAGTAAGATACATCATCTTTGCAACTGATGAGCAGTTTATAAGTTGATGAGCAGGTCATCCATGGAAAAATCTACAGATTTGTCTGAAGATGACAGAATGTAACTGTTACTGTAACAATCACATAATACAAAGAGAGAAATATTGTCATGGTTGGTGTTCTGATGACCTTAATTTCTGAGACTGAGAATGGTTATGTTTTTAAAATGAAAATGTTTTACTCATCTACTGGAATCTTTGTTTCCCTGATACCTTATGGAGAGGATGGCAGTTATTGCCTAATAGTTATAACTCTTGAAGCCTTTTTTAAGGTGTTTACACAAAACCTTACAATTCAGATGGCTTGAAGATATTTCTAGACTGTCACTTAGCTGTTTTGTGACTTTAGCCAAGTTATGTCAGTTTTCTTCTACTATTTGCCATCTCTTCCCAGACTTGTTTGATTGAACTGTAATGTGTTTTGGACAAGAATTTTCTCTTGTTGTATATAAGCTTATTGTTCTGTACAACGGTATTCGAGTCTTGACTGCATCTGCAGTGTGCAAATAAACTCCATTGTATTTTTAAAAATAAACTTATATTAATACTTGCAGATTCAGAACTGTTGGTAGAGTACAAAAGAAGTTGAATTAAGCCCTCCTCGCCAGATTACTAGCGAAACTGTTGAGTACATGTTAATGTTTGGGTTATACTAACAGTGAATTCAATGGGAAAAATACAGTTCATAATATTGCATATTATTTCATTGGAGGCAGGAGTAGGGGAAAATTCTTTGCTCCTAAGAGTATTGTTAATTTGGAAATGCACAAAAGAGTCATAGTACTTGAAGAACAAGGCATAATTCTTTACTGTGGAGCAGGTTCGGTTTGCTGATGCACTCTTGAACCGCTAAAATGTTGTCTCAGTTTTTCACATTTTTTTTTTCTGGAATGCATATTGAACCAAGTACACAGTGAAGCAGCTCATGCAGAAATTTGGACATAATCATAATAGGCTGGGTTTTAGGCCCATCTGAAGGATACTAGACTTTAGTGGAGCTGCTCAGCTGTTCTGGGAATCAGTCTCAAAGATGCTGGGTTAAAGAGCATTTTGAAAATGTGGACCATGCAGAATTTAATTCTGTAATGGTCATATGAACTTCCTAGATAATTGCAGTAGTTATAAATAAAATGTGGAACTGGGATTCTTGGCAGACTTTCTAGTAAGGGGGACAGCAGAATTACTCGCAGTAGCTGTGCCAATGGCAAGCCAGTTTGAAAAGTGTTGGAAGGGAACAAGTGCCAATAGAATATTCCGCTTAAGCACAAATGGAGTTGGATTCCGAATGGATTTGGAAGAACACATAAGTATGGCACAAGCAGATTAGGAGGAAACTGAAGGAACTATTCCTTTTCTCTAGACAACTTGTATTAAAGCTGAAGTAACTTAGTGTCTTTTTCTCCTTTCTGTCCTTTTGTTTAGATCACATACCACTTTACAGCTTTGTTTTCAATTATAAAAATATTTAGTGTTTGTTTATGCCCCAAATGCATAAACAGTGAGCATGGTAGTAGTTTTCTGCAGGCATGGCGTCACAATTTGAGCAGCGTAAGTGAAGCTAATAGAGCTCTACCCATATCCAGGATTTTAATTTTAGCAAGTGTCAGCAAGGGATGTGATAGAAGCATCTTTGATTGCTTTTCTAAACATTTAAATAGGATGTTAACACTTTGTGGTATAGACCTTTGTGGCCAGACCTTTATGAGGTGTTACTAGAATAGTTGCTTGCTTCTTGTTTTAAAAATTTGTAATGCTTCTGTGGCTTCCCCAGGACTGTCCTTGGGAACGGACCGCAAATGGACCACAGAAGTGAAGTGCCTAAGTTACTAATACGACAAAGGGATTCAAAGGGCAAGACTAATCGTAGTTGGAAATATGCGTGTCTCTTTTTTAATATTATAATAGAAAATATTGTTTTAGTAGTAGAATAAAAATATTTTAATAAAGTTCCAGCTGTTCTTGTTATTAAATTAAAAGTTGTATCCTTAAAATATTTTTTGCAAGATACATTTAATTTATTCATCCTCAAAGGATTTAGGATATAGAAAGTCTTAGGAAAAGAATTTTTACACAGTCGAGGGCAAATTGCTGATAAGGCACAACTGCTTTATTGTACTTCCAGTGAAGCAGCAAAAAAATCAGCTTTCATATGACTATATTTGTTTATCAACTATAACTTATTTTGTTTTTAGATCTTCAGATATGGACACAGCACATGAATCTAGTTCTGACTCTGCTTCTCCCACCTTCTCCCCCAGTCTTGAGTCTGCTGTGGGCCACTTGGTGCAGGATATTCCTGGATCTCACAGCTTTTTTTTTTTCTTTTCCTCATGGAAGGGGGAGAGATTTTTATTGGCCTTTCATGATATCTATCTCTCCAAAATATGTAATTTCCTTGGAAGAAATGAGGTTTTGGAGTAGATGCAGGCAGCTGGATGATGCAAGTAAGGTGATTAACTTGAGCTGCTGCTGCCATTGCATGCTATTTCTCCTTTTATGTTGAAAATATTTATTTATTTATTTGATTTTTGTTTTGTTGATGTGCTACTTTGAAGTAAGCTTTTCATATGTCAGATCCTATATTCCTCAGTTTTTCCCTCTGTCTTAAATGTCTCTTATAAATCTGTTTGCAGCTGGGTCTCGGGCATCTTACAGCAGCCAGCACAGCCACCTTGGCTCCGAGTTAAGGGCCCTGCAGTCTCCAGAGCACCACATAGATCCTATTTACGAAGACAGAGTTTACCAGAAGCCCCCTATGAGGAGTCTCAGCCAGAGTCAGGGGGACCCTCTGCAACCAGCACACACAGGCACATACCGCACTAGTACAGGTAGGTGGATGTAACTTGCATGACTGTCTGTCTTTGAGCTTTATCTTGTTCTTTAGTACTAATACTTGTTTTTTTGATGTGCTAAACGAATGTATCCTGTGCATGCCAGTCCAACAAGATACCTCACGCACTTGGCAGCTATCAGTGGAACCCTAAAGGCATGCACAAAACGTAGAAGTACTTTATGTTGTGCTAGATATACACTGTAGGTTACGCTGATTTGGGGGGAGGGCTTACTTTTACGGACGGAGAATGTTTTTGTTAATCTTACATGTTATCTTCAAGAAAAATCTAGTTACGCTAAAGAAACTTCTAGTTTTTTTGCTTGCAAAGGTATCTTGTGTGTCTCAAAAGAACTGCAAAGTTCTTTCCACAGGAAGCTGAAGAGTTAATCACTTGCTTTTTCAAGTCAGTCAATCATAGAGTAAATATTGTTCTGCTGTCATACAGAGGGCCACTGAGGTATTAGGTATACAGATATAAAAGTGAACTGTGGCATAGAGAAAAGCTGTTAGCAACACTGATTTATTCATAAAATAGTAATGATTGGCCATGAAATGAATTGGTGCACGAGTCCTACTTGCAAAATGTCCTGTCAAGCAAATGAAATACAGCTGTATGTTGCTACCCACAAATAGATCACAAATCAACAGGGATATTTATGGTATTTAATGCACAGAATAGTTAGAGTACATAAATGCCACAGACAAAATAGTCTAAAGCAGATGTAGAAAGAACTTGCCTTAGGAATTGTAAGTATTTCTGTTTTTTATCATTGCTGCAATGATGGAATAGTGATGATTCTGTCCATTCCCAAATCGCTCCATAGAATTGAAGAAAAAGGATTGCACTTTTTGGAGCAAGAATCTTTACTTTCTTTTAAAAGTTTTTTTTTTTTCTTTTAAAAATCTTTTCTGCAAGGCAAAGCTGATAATTTTTGTGTATCGAAAATTACTATTGCTTATTGGAAATTTTTGGGTGTTCAGAGTGCAAGAGAAAATCCTTAAAAGGAAATCATTTACAGAATTCTGTAGTTCAAAATTCCATAGCTGCTGCAGGTATTTAAGAATACCATTTCTGATACTTTCTAGTGCAAATAACCTCCCGTGGTGGTATATGTTTTGCATGGAGTCCTATGAGTATATATGACAAAAGATAACGATACCTTGCTGGAAGGGGCAAGACTTCTGTCTAAATCACTGAGCAGCAGAGGCAGTGATAGTGAGTGAAGCAACTTTTTATATAGAGCTTTAATCCTGCCCATGTTCAGCATGTGGCCTTATGTTTCCTATACCGTCCATTCTTCCCTATTCATGCCCTGAAGAGTTTCTTGTTTTGCTTACAAAATATCCTTTAGTTCTCTCTGCAGAAGTAGTGGGCTGGTTTGTAACTGTTGCGCAGTTATTTTCACAACGCCTCCATAAATAAGGAAAACCTGTGAACGTAGATAATTATAGTGAATGAAACTGGGGCACAGGATGTTAGTGGGTAATACCTGAGGAAGGTTTTTCAGTGAAAAATTTACAGAAGACGACACTGGTTTAGATAGTGTAGATGGTCTTGAAGTTAAAATGTATTTTGCCATACTGGCGATGCGAATTTGAGCATTGCTCCAGACCCATTCTGAAGAATGGCTACGCCATGAGCCCATCTTTGCTTTGGGTTGATTCTCACTGCTGTCAGTCTTGCAGAGAACGAGCCTGATGAGCCGTCTACGCTCAGAAGGAGTCTCAGGCTGGCCTGGACTTGACTGTTTCTGCCTCTGCCACAAATATCTGAAGAAACATATTTCTTCTGATGAAGGAGACAATACAGTTTTTCTCAAAATAGTAGAGTAAATGGGAGTCCAAATTAAGTTTGGCACATCTAAATCTTGGTTTGTCTGTTGGGCTGTCTGAGTGCTTTTTAATGCAGGACTGAATAGCTGTCTGCTTTGACTACTTGTGTAGGATTTGAGGGATGCAGATTGCTGTGTACTCCCTGAAGATACGTTCATGTCTTGCACATCTTGTGTGCACGAATCGCGGGAGAGGAAGAGAGGAGAGGACACAAGGCTTCTTCAGTATGCTTCTCTATAGACTAATGTCACTCAAAGAAACGGGCAAACTATTTCATTGATATATTTTGGTGTAGAAACATAGCTAAATGAATTATAGGAGTACAGAAAGGCAAACTTTGTCAGGGCATAGGTCCTTAGACTAAGTCGAGATTTTTTTTTTCTCTGCAGTTGACATTAACCATTAGAAACAAAAATTATGCTTGTTATACTTGCAAAACATTTGTTTTTGTACAGTATTTTAGAAGAGAAGGCACTTCCTGAATTTGAAAATTTCACTTAATTTGGAAGATTAAGTGACGCTCAGAATGGGAATTTTTCTTCACTTTTAAAACAGACGTCACCTCTTGCTCTTTTTTGAACTTCAGAGTACTTACTACGCTGAGGAATGGTTATACAACTAAGGATAAAGCCCACTCAGTTTCTCATCACCTAGGTAAATCGATATTCAGTGAGCAGTTTTAAAATTTCTCTACAAGCTGAGATATGTTCAATTTTTTTTTTCAATTTAGTCACTACATTTTTTGAATATTTGTATTTTCTTTATATTTTACTAATGGATGAAATGCATGCCAATAGTAAGGGCTATAGTAAGGGCTGCAGTAAGGGCAACATATTACAGAACGTATAAAGTAGGAGGATCTTAAAAATCATATCCCTTACTGACGTATCTTTAGATAGGGGCAGGGTGAATTCTTCATCACCTTGTAGTTTAAATTATGACTGGGTGTACTGCGGTTCTTCTGTCCAAGCTAAGAATAATCTTTCAAAGTTGACAGAAATAGCTGCATAGAGTTCTTTGGTCTGTGGTTTTTAGCAGATCAAATTGAGATTAGCAATCCCTTTTGTTCTTCAAAGGGTAATGCCTTTTCTGTTACGTGAAGTAGCAAACTAAACTGTGGCGCTAAAACTAGCGGTATACATATAGTTAATAATGGTAGACTTAAACTTATTTGATGCGATTTTTACATGTGCGTCACTGGAATTTGAAAAGTGTTGTTACTTAGCAGAGAGGAAGGATTTCCTCCCAGCCAGAAGGGATACAGAAATATAGGTAAGTTTTCTTTGGCTCATTTGTTTAATTTGTGGGACTAGAAGTTTGGACTAGGGTTCTGTTCCTTCTGTTTAACTTAATTATTGATAATTAATATTAAACATGAAGCAAGTCCAAGCTGGTAGGATCTCACTATTTTACTAGAGTGGGGTTTCCATAACTTCCTTGAACAGAAAGCAACTTCCTTCTAGTTCTGAACTGATGTTCTTGACCTGCAGCACAGGAACACAAGTATGGCGGCGGTAGTGCTTGTGAGAGGAGTTGCTATTGCCCTGTGGAACCTGACAGCACTGCGTTTGGATGTGCACCTTGTTTTCATCAAGTTGTGTTGATGAAAGAGAAGAGGCCTCTTCTGTAGAGAGGTGTGATCTGGAGGGATAAAAGTATTAAGAGCTGTGAAAGAATGCTGTTACCAAATGGCTGAGGTTATAAATAGAGTTCTGTGCTTAATTTAAACCCTACCCAAAGTGGGCCTGTGACTTTATTGATTGAAAAAAAGTGCTGCTGCTTAAAAATGGGGCAGACATTGGTGTATCGTGCATGCGTAGACCTCAGAACCTGCAGAGTGCTTGTGGTTTAAAGAACGCTAATCTGTTTCAGGGGCTGCAGGTGAGTATCTTTTTCCTGGACCTCACACAAGTGGCATGGAAGAACCAGCCATGGACAAATGAGTCCTCCGATCTGTGAAGGATGTATGCATCTCGCTGGCACCAAAGGAACCCTGACAGCCTTGAAGGAAGCTTAACTACTTCCTCACGATGTTCAGGATGATGATGATCTCTGCCATCTGGCCCCCCCAGCAAGTCACTGTGGGGAATGCCTCGTAACGTAGCTCAACCATGGGAAGTTCAGCAGCTATGGTCATGCTGCCAGTTGACATTAGCTTTATATGCTGTCTGTGCAGACCAGAAGCACCTAATGGTGAAGACAGGATATGCAAGGCCCTTTGAGAACTCTTCTGTGGTTATACAGAGAGAGAGGGAGAAAGGGGTGGGGGGACAGGTTGAGAGAAGGGAGAACGGGGTCTGTGCTTGAGCAGGTGTGGTACTGCTGATGGGGAACAGAGGACCCCAAAGCAAAGAATGTATTGGAAGTGAACAGTGAAAGCAAAGCAGTCAAAATATGCATTACCTGGAGAGTGCACAGGACTCGAAGGGTTTACCAAGCGTGCTCTTGAAATGGGTCCTGGGGGCAGCGGGAGGGGAGGCGAGGAACGTTCTTGCAGCATTTCTCTTTGCTACCTCAGAAGTTGCCCAATGCCCCTGTCCGCATAGAGGGCTGCGGGGCTGTCCTGCAGCTCCTCCTGTGGCGTCCTCCTTCAGATTGGGTCTTGCTGAGCTTGCTCGGGCCAGCGCCCAGTGCTTTGACCCATGCGCCAATTCTGAAGCTGTCTTTTAATAAAAGCTGCGCTGCTGCAAGCTGTGCCACCTCCTCGGGGCCACGGTGGAGAATGCTAATCAAAGAAGAGAGGCCTGCGAAATTTATGATGGCAAGTGCAAAACAGAAATGTGGCTTCTGTGTAAGTTGGATTTCTGTGCAGAGGGAGAGCACTGTCAGTGTAGCGAAACTGTACTGTTGTTGCCATGGTGAGTTAAGTGGGCTCCCTTCCTTAGAGAGAAGAGTTATCTGCTATAGGTTGGTCCTGACTGCGTCTGCCAAGAGGGTTACAACTCAGTAGCAGTAGCTAGGCAAAAAAGTCCTTATTGGAAGTGCTTTCAGTGGTTCATGTTTAGCTTCTGCACTGAGTGAAGGGCACAGGAGGGGAATACAGCAAGAAACGGCTTTTCTGGCCTCTTTCTTCTAACTGTAGTTTCTGTTCAAGGGCCTGCGAATGGCAGGGAAAATTCCAGTTTTTATTGTCCTGTGGCACAACGCAGGAAAAGCCCCTGA